TATATGTAGTGTTAATGTCAGTAGACTTCATGGTACCCTTTGAAATGGAGTCTGTTAAATACTGGAAGATATAAAAGCTAATCAAGCAGGGTTTGAATTTTAATGACACTGCATTACTGAGCTTTTTGTATTGGAGTAATGGAAGAAAAATGGAAAAAATCAACATAGAAGCATTTTGTTATAAGGCTGAGAGGTGCTTGATACCACTTTAGTTTTTCAAATAAAGTGTGTAGAGAAGCTAAAATCCTTCTGATCATTACTTTCCTACCAGAAAAAAAAATTGTCTGGGCCAAGTCCTCTTTGCTTTGCTCACTGACATTTTACACCAAAGAAAATCCTGCAGCACTTGGAGACCTGTCTTACACATGCTGAAATGTAACGGGTAAAAGGGTTTAATTTCACTTTGTTGATAAGTTGGTGTTTGCATCCCTTAGGTGTGAGGGTGTGGTTTTGGTTTTAAGCTTGGCTGTGATTTAGGAGTTCCATTTCCCTGCACAAATGGGATTTGTGGTACTGATAGATTCAAACTCAGCTGAAATCAGATAAGAAGTGATTTGGTTGCATTAATGAGGAGCTGTGCCTGGACTGAAGAGCAGAGTAACAGAGGTTTCCTCCACATCATTCTTTCAGGATCCTATAAAGTCTTTTTGCCACACTGTATTGCTGCTGAATGCAGTCCTTGGGGCTGGGGAATGTCCCTGCCAAGCTGCATTTGGATGTCTAATTGTGTCATTAATAGTGCCAAAAATCAGGGTGTTTCTCCTCTCTCCTCAGAGATGATCTCTGACAGCAGTGCCCTCAAGTGCTCTGCTCAAACACTGACCAATTTGAAATCTGGCCTGAATTCATCAAGGCTCTTAGTTGATCAGAAGAGGACACGTAACTGTATTAATTACTTTCAGTTGATTGATTGCTTTTTGAACAGTGTTACAAGCTTGCAAGTCTTGAAGGTTTTCTCCTTGATGTAGCTTTATTTTCTTATCCAAAAATACATATTGAAAACTTTTAAAAGTGTGATTTGGTCAAATGTTTTAATCTCGTATTCAGGCCTACAGAGTAACTTACAGATTTAACATTTGAGGTTTGTGGAGAGCTGAGGGTGTCTTTGCTCAGGGGTTGAGGAGGGGAGCGATGCCGTGGGATCCCGATCCTGTCCAGCCATACCTGGGAGAGCTGCTCCTGATGGCTTTTCCACAGATGTCCAGCTTTGTCAAAACCCTCTAAATCTTGTGAAGTTTATTTTCCTTATAGCATCTGTATTTTATAATGGTGCTTTTAATTTGTTTTTTCTTTGTCTGCTGGGATTTCTTTTGTCCGGCACTCGCAGGCCTCCCTTTTTTCCTCGGTGGAAGTGAGTCTGTCAGTGATGGCTGCTTTGGGAATACAGCTCGGCCCGGCCGCTCCCTCCCTCTGACAACAAAGCCCATTGTTGTTTGCTTTCTTCACTTTTATCCTCAGCTTAATCCATTTCTCCTTCGAGCGTCCGTGGAATAAAACGTCTGGAAAAGAGTGGCTCAGGTTTTGGGGGGAGGAGATGGTGGTGGTTTCACAGACTCTGAGCAAACAGGTCCAAACCCAATGGATTGGGTTCTCAGTAGGCAATGTTTGCCCAATGTATGGCTGAACTTACAAATAAACTGGTCAGACTCCACAGCCATGGCATCCCCAGCTTTTTGGAGGTCCCTTAGTTAAATTAGTAAGAGATTCACCAGCCTAGACTGGTTTTAATGTAGCCCATGCACAGCTCTGATATGAAAATCTCCTCTATGGCAGCCCATGGAAAGACAAATACTTGACCCCATGCCTTGCATGAGGTCCTGAGGGCTCTGGGTGATTACCAAGGGAAAGTGCCTCCTTGCTCAGGATGCTCCACTGGAAATGATCCTTGAGGGGACATGTTTGCCCTGGAATTGTGCTGCTGATGATTGATTGCAGTGAAAGCATTCCTGGAGTGGTCTGTAGGATGAGATCTCTGTGTCAGTCTCCAGCCATTTCCAGTTAAATGCACTGTCCACATGTCGGGAGGTAACTCGAGTTCAGCATTCTGCTGGATTAAAAACACTGGATATTTCTACCAGACTTAAACTTTGGCTTATTTGTTGCTTGTCCTTTGACAGTGAATCAACAACGGCTCGAGCTGTAGAAATAATGTTGATGCTTGAGTGCATTCTTTGTGCTCTTCTGGCCCAATCTGACTGCCCTGTGCACACACAACTCCTGTTTGCTGCAGGAGTTTCCTGCTTGGAAGGGCTGGAAGAACGAAAGGGTAATTTTTGGGATTCCTGGATGGGTACAGCAGCACACCAGAAAATTAGGGGGTTTTCTTTAACCTTAATCGTCCCCACCATCTTAATACTATTGTAGTCAGATTTGCAAGAACAACTTTCCTGTCAAAAATAATTTCTCTCCTCTTTGTAGCATTCCAACTTTTAATTTTTGACTAGTATCACTTTTAATTACAGTTTCTGCAGTGAAGCAACTGACTGTTGCAGCAGAAAATGCAGGTTGGCAGGCAATGGTTATTGTGACATATGTTTGGTATTTACAGCTTTTCCATTTGTCACAGCAGAATTTTTTATCATGTTTGTGCTGTGAAGTGCTGTGTGTTCTGAGGTCTGGTTTAGTTAATTTTTTATTGAGGTTTGTATACATCAGATTTAGCTATACTTCCAAATACATAGTTACAAATTAAATGCTTGACCTCCTGATGTTTTTTGGTTTCTTTCTCAAAGAAGAATCATCTTATATTTTAGTCCCTTTCAGAATATCTTTGACACATTTTCATTCTTTTTTTTTATTTAGTACTTTTTGAGGGGGTTTATTATTTCCTTATATGTGAGTCTATAGACTCAAGACTCAAGAATTTGTAAGATGTTGTTCCTACAATTAATAAAAACCTCTGAAGGGATGAGATAATCCTGCAGTTTTCTAAGTATCCTTAAACTCCGGGAGTCCTCAACTTGTATGGAAGCAAAGCAGCTCATCCTTGTGTTGGAATGATGGCTGTAAATTCCTCATTTCCTCATGCAAATAATCCATGGAATCAGCTGAAGGCTTTGCATGTGGAACACCACATGAAGCTGGGAGCAGAGGGCACTGAGACATGAAATGTGCCTTGAGAGGGGAGAGGGGGCTGTTCCAACCCCGCCTGTGGATCAGTAGTTCAGAGTTAATAATTGGATTCTGAACAAGTAATAGAAAACAAATCACAGCCATTTGGAGCCCCCTCAGTAGATACTGTCAGTGTTTGCTGTGCCCTTGTGGATCCAGGGGAATATGGGAGAGGGGAACCCTTCCAGAGAGGCCTTGGCTGCAGGAACAGTGACTAATTAGACAATAATGCACAAAACTATTCATATGCCTTTCTGAAAAAAAAACCACCAAAAATGCATTATTAAACTATTTTAAAAAAATTAATTGCATCTCAGTCTTATTTAAAACTGAGCTGGGTTTTTTTTCCCTTTTCCTTTTTCTTTGTATTCCAAGTTGGTGCAGGAAAATTGCTATTAATGAAATCTGCTCCCTGGGAACTTCAATAGGCTTGTTCTTCATTAAAGCCTTTCTATTTCTCTTAAAACGTATTGATGGATGCTCAGGCCAGATACTTATCACAAAATACACTTTGTAATTTCATCATTTCTGTTATTGTGCTTCTCTGAGACACAGAGGTCTGGGGGCTTTGCAAAAAAAAAACAACCCAAATAAAACCCCCAAGCTTACAGTTATATAGTATTAAAAGAAGGGTGAAGGAAGCATTGAGTGTCTTTAGGATGATGAGACATTCATTAAGATTTTTCCGCCTTCCTTTTCCTATTTTCAATCCATCTGAAGTACCATTAAAGCTTTTCAGGCAGCTTCCTGTGAGAAACCCTTTGCTGTGCTGTTTTTCTTCCTTGAAAAAAGGTGGCTGCTCTTGAGGCAGATTGTATGGATTTGGCCTGGGATTTGTATAATATCTGTGTAGAATGCAGCAGTTGTTTAGGAACCTAATTCCCAATATGGTTCCCTTTTGATTAAGAACAAAGCCAGCGTTTCACAGCATTATAGGAACACAGAAAAACAAGTTAATGATCTAAACCTTTTAATTCATGGTTGCTTGTCTATTTAAAGTACTTTTGATTCTGCTATAAACAGACTGGCCCCTTTTTTTGTTTAACTTCTTTCTTTGGTTTCTTCACATTTCTTTCTTTACTGTCCATGAAATTTGGAGCTAGTTTCCTTTTCCAGCTGAAGAATGAAAGGTTGTGACTACAGAGTGATACAGCGAGTAAGAAAGCGTATCCAAACTGGGCGTCCATCCAGCACAGACCTCTTTGAAATCAGCTAAATTTAGGGTTGTTGAGGGCTTTTTTTGTTATGTTTTCCCTTTCCTTTTTTTCAGTACCTGTGTTTCATTTTCGTCTTTTCGAATGAATATAAAATTTGTTACTTTTTTGATACTTTTTTGATTTTTACATCTAGTTTGGCGTGGCTTTATTTGACATAGTTACTTGATATTTCCCTCCAGCCTTGGTTCTGCAGATGATTATTCTGTATGTCTTTATCCGTCGAGACAACAAAAGCGACCTTTTCAGGACTTCCAATTACCAACACTGTATGTGGTACTTTAGGAAAATAATTCCCTTCCAGCTACTCCTTTTTTTTTAAACAGAGAATTGGAATCCAGAGCTTGTCCTTCAAATCGAACTCGAAAACTTTTCGGTGAACAAAACTGCCAGGCAAGCAGCAGAAGCAGCAGGAATAATTTCCCTTGCATGGAAAAGAATCCTTCCTTATCCTCATACGTAAAATTAGTAATTGTTTCTTCCATTTTAATTTTTTCTTTATCTGAAATGAAGATTATTTTTTTAGATTTTTTTTCTTTTATTACGACAGCAGCTTGTTTATGGGTTTTTTTGGGGTTGTTTTTGTCTTTTTTATCTTATTTCAGGCAGATGTAGAAACGATAAATGAAGAAAAATTTCCAGTAATGTGTTTTATTGCATCTCTATCCCATCAAGGTAAATTGAACAGCCAAGACACTTACAACAACTTCACAAACAACAATCCTGGGAATCCTCGACTCCTGCCTCTCCCAAGTCTGACTGTGGTGCTGCCTCTTGCTCAGATCAAGCAGCCAATGACACTGGGGACCATCACCAAACGCACAGGGTAAGTGGCACAAACCTTCCTCAGCCTTTGTGATTCGTGTGCAAATCATTTGTGTTATTAGTGAGAATTAGTTCTATTCTATATTTTAATTTCAGTGTATGTAATTTAATAGCAGCAGAAGAGGGCTGGGAGGAAGAGGAGACTGAAAATGTCAGATAAATAAATATAACCTGAAAACAAACCTCTGAATATTCCTGAATATTCATTTGGGTGGGTCAGGAGACATTTTCACACCAGGAACTGGAATGAAACATAAGCAGAGCTGTATTCAATCAGAATAAAATATGGCTTTACTTTTTCCCCCAAGTTTGTTTATTTTGATTTCCAACCTTTTCAAGCACAAACGATTTTTGACCATCAGAGCTAGAAAGACAGTAAGCCAGGTTCAGCAGAAAGGCAAAACTTAATCCCACTGTTTTCTTGACCTTATTTTTCCTCTGTTGCACTGTTCTGGACTGGGTGGATTTCCACTCCAGAGTCAGCTGTACTTTGGTACTTCTCATGAGCCATGATAAAGCACTTCAAAGTATTTTTTTGGGAAAAGCTTCTCTAAATATATATAGTATAAGATTTTATGAGCTTTGTAAACCATAGCAATTTAAAATTAATTAATACTGTCCAACAGCTGACATTTTTCTCTTGCTAAACTTTAAATATTCTTTTATTATAATTAAATCTACAGGATGATGATTATATTTTTCCTCTCTCATTTTCTGGTTTGTTTGAATTCCTGAATATTTTCCAGTTAAAAACCTGATCCATTAGTTTTCAGAGGGCTTTTATATTTTTAAGGAAAGTAGATCCGAGCATGGCATGTGGTTGGACAAAACAACTGTGAGTCCTACAGCTTCCTAACCTTTTCCTGCATTTTGGCAAACACAGGCACTGCCTCCCTTGCTTCAGTGCTTTCTTGCTCAAACCCTGCTCGTGAGGTGAATTTTCCCTTGTGTTTCATGAACTGGGAATTATTTTTGAGGCAGAGCTCACGGCTCTTCCCTCTCTCCCTGTGCAATTCCCGTGTTTGTGCTGGAGTTCAGGAGGTGCTGTAAAATCCCCTCTAGCTGGGTGCACTGTGGGTCAGGAGCTGGGCTGTGCACGTGTGCATCCCTTCGTGTCTGTCCAAAAATCCACTCCTGGCCTTGCTGTGAAACGGGAATTTCACGGGGCTCGTGGAGCCAAACGTGAGCCACAGACACACAGCTGCCCCCAGCACACAGAAATTCCTGAACTTCACAGATAATTGGGAATGGAACTTAAGAAACAGTGAAGAAACAGTTTGAGGGTCATGTTGAGGTTTAGCTTTCTCCACATTTCAGTTGCTTATTTTTGCTTTTTTTAGTTTTCTGCTCAGTTTAAGCTGAGTGAAAAAAATTTTGCTGCTGCTCAGGTGACTTTTAGAAGCACATCCAGGTGTGATCCTGGATGAGGATGGGAAGGGAGGTGGGATGAGAGGGAGGTTGTCACAGGGCAGGAGTCACAGTTCCTCAAAGAGGGGAAATACCAAAAACCTGACTTGAAGAATGTGGCCATGAAGGACAGAAATACAAATGTGTGCTCCCAAAACTGGACTAGACACTTAGAACCAGGTGGGACATGACAGAGAAAGAAATGAAAAATTCACCCGAGGGCCTGCCAGGGGAGGTAGGTAATAGGAACAGTGAGAGGAAGGATTTGGAAAAAAGCTCTTGGTTTACAGTTGTATTTAATGTGAAATTCTTTACAAAGGTTTCCCTAGTGCCAAGAAACCTTTCTAAAATTATTGCAGTTGTAATAAGTCTGCAGTATTTTATTTAATGTTTTATTCTTAAACATCTAAAACATATTTGGAGTGTTCATATTTGTAGTTTTATGGTAAATTATACTATTCACAAACTGTCTCTGTTCCATTTTATGTCATTTTTAAAACTAATTAAATTTAAAATGCTCAATGAGGCTTATGTAAGGGGGGAAAACAACAGTCATGGGAAATACCCTGCTGTGTAAATAGAGTTTTCATGAATGAGGATCATAATTTTCAGCACAGCCCACGTAGCCTTGTAACGGTAAGCCGAGAGCTTCCTTCATTTGTTCTGCATCCAAAATATTTGATGAAAGTACACAAAATTAACATGAAAAGCTGTTATTTATAAAGCAGGGATTTAAGAGGAATGCCTAGGATCCAAGAAGCCTGGCATGCCTAAAATGACCAAATTGAGACAGCAGCCTTAACTTAAACCTCCAGGGGGCAAAGCGTGTGTTTAACATATTTAACATCTGCCCTCATATTTCTGCAAACACATAGCACTGGAAGTCTGTGCAGTGTAAGATTTCGACAGGACAGGGACCATCTGCCTCGCTGGGAGAAGTGGAGGAGGCATGTATTACTGCAAATGGCAAAAGACAGATGTATTTACACCTCCGTGGTCAGCACCTCTGAGCGCTGCTCCGAGGAAACAAGGCTCTTCCTTGGGAGCAGCTGCTGAGCCTCGCGGTGTGCAGCCATCAGGAAAGGAGCCGCCCTCCACGATTCCTCCTCCCTGCTGGTGACTTTGAAAGAATTACACATTTCATCTGTTGCAGCACATTTTAAGCGAGGCTCAAATACCGTATAATTAGAGATTTGTCCGTTTTATTTGTTCTTTAATATGAAATCTTCGTGAGGTCTTGTAGATTTTATTAAGCAAAAAAATCACGCTGGGGTTTGTTCTGCCAGTATCCAAGACAGCAAAATATTTTCCAGGTACTGAAAGGACTGATCAGTGCTGTTAATATCATGTGTCTGGAGCAGAGCTGCAAAGCATGTCATGTTGCTTGACAGGTGGAATGGCAGTAAATTTTTTAAAAGTGTTCCCTGTAGCCCTGTGGGAATGAAAGACGGAGTCTGGAATTGTGTCGTGACCGTGCTGTTCATCACAGATGCTTTTTTCCCTCCCTGCAAACACGTAGATTTTGGAACATGTTCTGAACAGTCACTGCTCTGAATGCAACTTCCATTGTCAGCACGGAGTACCTTGGAGCATCCCCTCTGCCTTCATCCCTGTCCTTCCCTTCCTCCCTGCCCTCTGCTTCTTCCTTTGCTTTTCCAACTCTCCCACTGTAATTTCTGCACCTTCATCAAGCACTTAATTTTTGTCCCTACATTTTGTCATCCCATTGACTGGCTTTCCTGTAGTTTGTGCTGTCAGCACATTCAGGCTTTCCCAGAGGGGCTCTAACACTAATGAGTAAGGAAGCTTCTGATGTTTTAAAGATTAGGGGGGGATGCACGACAGCACAAGAGCTGGATTTAATAAGTCTTTCTATATCCGTGCCTCAGTTTCCCTCTCAACATTTTGATAGTAATGCTGAATTCCTTGTCAGGGCTGGTGAATGGATTAATTCATTGCTCATTTACAAAGAGCTTATAGACTGCAAAGGGGGAGAGCTGTGTGCTCCATCTCGTTGTCTATAAAGGGCAGTGAATCAGAATGTTCTAGAATTCAGCTTTGTGCCCCACAGTAACTCCATAAGAGTTCCCTGGGTTTGTGGGATGAGTTGCAGTTTCCAGTGGGGACATGGATGAGCTGTAATAGGAAGGAGGGAAAGAACAGCTAAAATAATTGCCCCAAAAAGAAAAACTGTTGTCAAAGTTGGCTCCTGTGCCAGCAGCATTTGTTTTTAACTTCCTCAAGGGACAGGCTCGTTATATTTGTATCTTACTTCACTCCCACTTCATCCTTGCTGGAGTGAGCAGCAGGATGGAGCCTGCATTAGCTGAGCCTGGTCAAAACACAGAAATCCAGGGTGCCTTGCAGCAAAAGGGTAAACCTGGGTTTTTTTCCAGCCAGGAGATTTAGGTAGTGTATTTTTAAACATGAAACTCCATCCCTTCTTCACCCCATCCCTCACTGCACCCTCAGTCAGGAGGGGGGAAGTAGGTAAAGTGTCTGATGCAGTTTTATCATTTTAATTTTCTATGCACAGAAAGTCACTGATGTATCTTGGGCTTATTTTGTCTCAGGGAGCTTCATTTATCCCACAGTCAGCTGCTGCAGCAAACAAAAATAGGTGGTGCAAAATCACCACATGAAGGTAAAATTAATTAGGAAAAAAATAACTGAAAAAGTAGAGGGAAAAAAAATAAAGCTAAAGAGTTCAGCACAATTGTCTGAAGCCAGACATTCTCTTTCTGCCATATTTCTCAGACATATTTTATATAGTTTTTAGTTCTTATAGTATATTCTAGTAAAAAAACAACTGTTGTAATGATTTGTAATTGATACAAAATTCAATTATTTGCACTGAAGTTTGTTCAGATGTCACTGTTTATGAAAGGATTCTTGATTTGGCATGATGAGGGTTAGAATAAATGTGTATTGCACAGCTTATTAAAAGCTTAAATAGTTTTATTAAACATAACCACACAAAATCAAAGTATTTCAGTTTTCAATTTGCTAAAACTCAGAATCAGGTAAGAAACAGCGAAAATTCTGTCAGAGCTTTGAATGGTAAATCATCTTCCTTGCACGATTTCCTTTGGAATTCCTCCCCAGCTCTGGGAAAGGGGAACCTGGGTGAGTTTTGCCTGGCACTGCTCTCTTGCTGTCACCGAGCGCAGCCATCTGGTGCTGTCTCTTCAAGGTTGGGTTATCCTGTAATTTGTGAATTCTCTCTCGCTCTCAATTAGCATTCCATCCATATTATGTGAAGGAAATAGGGGAAAACAATTGCTTACATAAATATCATAGGGAAGAAATGGTTGTCTTTAAAGAAATCAGGTCTTTGGAGCAGAAGGGAGGCACTAAGTTGCTTTTCTCACACATAAAGCATTTTAATAAGACTCTGCTGTAGTCTTTGGAAGTATAATTACATTTTCTTCATGTACAAAATTTTCTGTCCATTTCCATCCATTTTCTATCCAGAACTACCAAATAAAACCTTCAGTTGAAGCCCACCTAGGCCAGTTTCTGATTAAAATAAAGAGGATTTGTTAATTTGCAAGTCCAATCAGGTCAGTATAGGAGTAGTGGAAGAAGAAAAAGCCAGTGTTATCTTCTGAAATGTTTACTGGGCTCACATAAGGGTTATTTGCCTGGGGTTTGAAGACAGAGCAACTGAGACAGAGAAGAAGAAAAAGAAACAGTGTCCAAAACATCCATGATGATCATTTAGAAATTGAGTTCTAAGCTCCCAGGCAGATCCGACCACTCTCCAATGACTCTTCAGATTTACACTCATTAGAAATTGAGTTCTAAGCTCCCAGGCAGATCTGACCACTCCAATGACTCTTCAGATTTACACTCGATACATTCCAGGTTTTAACTTATGTTGGCTTTGGGTTATGCAGGAGATTTAGCTTGCAATTAAATATTTAAGCAGTGCAATAGTGCTGGACTCATCTTCTAGACTGGCCTTTGACTTGGGGACTGGATGTGCTGGCTTTATAGGAGATCATTCAGTTCAGACAATTTAATTGGGTTTTACCACTGTTCAAAGATGATATATTAGGTCTGGAAGGGTGATTGGCTCTGTCAAATGAGCTCTGTCCCCAAAAATGTTAACCAATTTATTAAATACAGAAAGTTAAAGGCCAGTCCCTTATATGGAGCTCAAAAAATTGTTTTTTTTGGTCTATAGTACTAATTAAAAATAGGGTTTTTCCCTGTAATATTCTGTTCTTTATTGGATGTTTGCATCTCTGCATGTTGAAGAATATTTGTCTTAGGTTTGTACCTTCACCTGAATGTTTTTTGAGAGGATCCCTTCATTCATTGATGTTGTGCTCATGTCAGATTTAGTTCACTGAATTCTTTTTTATCAGCTGGTATCCTTTTAATTGTGTTGGTCTATGGCTGAGTGCTTTGTACATCCTTCAGTGCTGGACCTTTTCTGGTAATTCATTGCCTGGAAATATTTCACCTGTTTCAACTACCCAGAACTTACTGCTGAGTCAGAGTATGAAAAGAAAACAGAACCATTGGCATTTACAAAATCAATTATTTAGTGATTTTGTGGATGATGTTACATCCCAAATGAGACTCGAAAGAAGCCTTGAGCCTGTGAGTAGCTCTAAATTTGCCTCCTTTTCAGATTTTATGCAAATGTCACTATGGCAATGGCTTTTTAAAGGGAAATGTCCATTGAAAATTCCCTCAGATTAATATCAGGTTAAAAACTCTCCACTGTGCAAAATACTTGAAGAAAACATGAAATCAAATCATGGTGTAAATTGTTGGGTGGCCAAAAGCACTCAGCTCTAGATCTGGTGACTGAGCATCAAATACATTTGAACTAAGTTAGGCCTCTCTTTCCTGCATCTGTGCAAGCTTTTAAGGGGAGGAGAAGATTTCTGGGTCAAACTGTTGAATTTCATGGGGTGTTTCTGTCCTAGCAAACGGCTGAACAATTGTCCCCGAAAGGTTCTGATTGCCCCTGTTGGTTTTATTGCCCTCCTCTCAGTAACTCTGTGACTCTGCCCCACTCAGCCCCTCGGTGCTCCACAGAAAACCCCACCCATGACTGATTTGGCTGCTAATTCCCTTTTCCTTCCAGTTCTGACTTCAGTATCTGCTGCAGCCCCAGCTTTGGCAGCAGGTCGGAGGGGGCCCTGAGCTGTGCCTAGCTAAGGCCAGCTCTAACTGTGAGCCCAGCTTGCAGCGATGTCCCGGCAGCTGCCACCTCTGGGCTGTGCCCTGGGCACTGCCGCTCCCCTGGCAGCTCCTCCAGCCATCAGCAGGGCTCTAACAACGATTCTGTTCACCTTCTGCATAAACCTCAATGGCATGATGTACAGTGTACTTGTTGGGAATTGAGTTCTCATCTAATTTCTGTGCATTTCTCCCCTTTCCGTGAAGACCTTACCTGTTTGGAGCAGGATGTTTTTCCATAAAAGCTCCTTGGTGAGTTCCCAGTTCAAACCCAGCATGCCTATACTCCATTTGCTGTCCTCGCTGAAAATAACTCTGTGCTTAGACTTTTTAATTTTGGATGAATTTTTTGGTTTCGTTTGTTTACCTGCATGGCTGATCCATAGGTTTCCATGCACATAATTTCACTTTTAAACTATGGATGCGTGTTCACCATCAAGCATTGCAAAGAATTGAATTCCCTTTTTTTTCCCCTCTTCTTTTTACCTTTGAGAGTGCATTTAATTTTTAAGTAGCAGGGAAGTTGAAAAAATAAATTATTTCTAAGTGGGCAGAAATGATTGCAATGTCTTTCCAAACAAGCCTCTCTCTTTTTTTTCTATATTGCTTCCTTTATTATTGTAGCACTAAGTTGCTTACAGACAGAAAACATCGATGATGACCTCTGAAAAATAAGCCAGATTAACAGTGAGTAGGCAGTAAAGTACTGCAGTGAGAGGTGAAGCAGTAAAATGGGTACTGGGAAAAAAAAAAAAGGAACCTGATTACTCTGGAGAAAAAAAGTCATGGAACTGTCTGGGGTGAAAGGGATCTTCAAAATCATCTCGTTCCAACATGGGAAACAGATCTGTTAAAATTGGGATATTTGAAATAAAAGGGGGTTTCATTTTAATGTGAAAAAATGCAGCATATTATAAGAATACAGACAAGAGGAAATGCAGCATATTATAAGAATATAGACAAGAGGAAAAGCAAGTTTTAACAAGATTTTTGATGCTGGAGTTTGGTTCAGTATTTGGGCAGTGCTGCATCACCTCAGTCTCCACTTTATAACAGGATTGGGCTTAGATGCTGGAAGTTTTGGGTAATAAGAATGGAAGAAGTAGAAACACCTTAGAAAATTTAAAACTTCCAGCAAGAAGTTTTCTGGGGCTTGGGGTTTTGGGGTTTTTCTGTGGGTTTGGGATTTTCTCTTTGTTTTTAATTTAGCTGAGGGTATCTATTAACTGTGCCCACCAGGATCTGGTAGAATATTTGTACATGGCTCTTGGGTTTGCTCTGGAAGCTGGCACCATGTGTATCACCCTCAACGTCTCTATCAGAATATTCTCTTCAGAAAAAGAATTTGTTAAGAGCTTTGTAGGACACAGAATTCCCAGAGAAAGGCTGAGGAGGGATTTGGGAGCTGCGCCGGGAGAGGCAAAGGGAGGGGAGAGGAGAGGAGAGGAAAAAGGAAAGGAAAAGGAAAAGGAAAAGGAAAAGGAAAAGGAAAAGGAAAAGGAAAAGGAAAAGGAAAAGGAAAAGGAAAAGGAAAAGGAAGAAACTTTGCCTTATTTGTGGAGAATTTCTAGCTCCTGAAGTACCTCCCCAAGAACCATTTCTAAATGCAGTTTCTGGTGCACCAAAGAATTTTGCCTGGTGGTGATCTAAGAATTGCAGAGGCTCTGGAAGAAGAGTTTTGGCAGTGGATTTCTGAGCAAAGGCTGTGTGGGTCACCCCTGCAAGAACAGGAGACATCGTCAACCAGAAATGGTTTTAGATTGAAGGAAGATTAAAAGGCTGAGATTAAAGAGGGGAATATATGAAATAGGCTCCAAAATTGTTGCCTGTCTTTCACAAGACTCTTTTTGTGGTTTGTTTAATGCCAGTGCTAGCTCAGAAATATGGTCCTTACTCGTCTACAGAGAAATTAGGATAAAAAACACACTTTGGGTGGGGGAAGAAATCATGTTGTTTCCATTAAGGTCTTAATGAGACCTAAAATTCTGTAAACAAAATGGATGTTGATTTGACAGCTAAGTGCCTGGTGAAAAAAGGATCCTACCATTGCTTTTCATGCTTTTTCTTGCTTTATTCATGATCTGACAACTGGAAACATCTTTGTTTTCACATTTTAGGCACAACGATAAATGAATTAAAATTTCTGGACTTTCTGAGACAGATTTTTTTTGTAACTTTATGTGTAAATGCAAATGCCATGCAATATTTTTCTCCTGATACTTTTGTTGCTGCTTATGTAGTCAAGATAAAACTTTTCCCATCAGCAGTCATAGATGTTTCCATTTCAGTGGGTTTAGAGTGGGATAAGTGCTTTTGTTTTTATGAATCTCATATATTTGGGATATATTTGTTGGGAATATAAAATCAAAGCAATTTTTAATCTTTGCACACTGGTACTATTTGACTATAAATATTTGAATTATATATATAAGGCAGCTCCTTCATATCACATATATGCAATTTATTTATTGTTTTAAATCCATGTCACTTGTTTGACAATAGATTTAAAGATATATTTAAGAGCCAGAAGAATTTTGTGAGACATAAAGCTCCACAACTATGCTGCTCTTTAAATATTTTTAAAATATTTTGAGTATTAATTCTTACTAGTTAAATAATAATATTTAGTTAGTATATAAACTAATTAAATTATTAGTAACTATTTAGTGTTTTTACAAAGAGCTACCACAATGCATTTGCAGAGATTTTGGCAGAGTTTGATGCGTTACAAATTCGACAAGTGGGAGCTCTGAATGGTTTCAGTAGGTCTTAATCTGTTCTTACTGTGTTGGCAACATGAAAGAGCTTGCATGCTGAGCTCAGTCTCTTCATTGCTTTTTGAGCTCTGACAAAGTGATGTCTTCATTTTCTCCTTCAGTTTCCTCCCACCTCCTTTTGTGCCATCTCAGTAGAGAACGTCAGTGGGCCACATCTGTATCTACATCTCAGTGCTTTTGCATTTAAGATAGAAATAATCCTCCAAAGTGATGTCAGAACATTTAACAATAATACAAATTTCCCCAGATACATTCTATTCCTGATTTAGATTTCTGTATAGATCTCACTGGGGTGCAGCTACTGCTGTGTCTCACTGAATCCCAGGTGTGGTTGCACAGTGGAGTAGATCCAGAGAGGAAAAAGCAAACTGCCTTTTCATCCTCCTGATGTCTTAAATGCAGTGCTGTTGTTCCTAATGTTTGGGAGAAATGAGGAGTGAAATTATGATGGGGAATGTTTTGGTCCCAAGGGCTTCACTGTCTTGGTTTTAGCATTGACTCCCAAAAATCTGAATTTGTTGCTGCATCCCTTCTCAGGAAAACTATGGTACAATCTTTTGGAAGTTACTGTATTATGAAGATTCTTTTAAAGTAACTGTTTTGTAAAAGTGAGGCCAAATGTGCCTAAATTTCAGCTCTTGGAATAATTTATGAAGTGCTGACAAGCCAAGAGCAAGGCAAGAGCAGGAGTTCATAGCAGAAACAAGTCATTCACCAGCCACCTTCAACGTTATTGTTTTGTTATCATTTATAAAGCTGAGAGGGTGTTTGCATCTGCAGAATAATGGGGATTTATAGTTTCCAAGTTGTTAAAATATCCCAATCACATGCGAATATATTTTTCTAATGGCATTACTGTTACTGAAAATTAGTGGGCTTTGGAGGTTTGCTGGAGGAATGAAATTTGTGTTGGAATGTATTGATGAAAACTCAGGAATCGAGAAAAATGATGCTCAAATGAAAGATTCCTCAGCTACAAGAGACTCCAGAACAGACTTGTTGACATCTCAGCAGCATTTTCAGAAACGTGTCCAAGCCAATAAGATGCACAAATGGTTTTTGTTTGTTTGCTTGTCTTTGTTTGCTAGCAGGGCTGAGTTTAACCACATGAGTAATCGTGTTTTACAAGGTCTGCTCTTTCTGTCTACACAACATCATCCTCGAAGGGAAAAGCTCCTGGCACTGAAACCAACACTTAAGTGCTTGCCTTGAAAGATGCACATCCTAAAGACAAGATGGAAATAGAACTGAGCTCAGCCCATTTCCTCTAAGGCTGTTTATAATTGTGTTTGGTCGAACACAGGTCTGGGGACTCAGAGTGTGGAGAACTCTGGAAAAACGTGTTGAGTCCCAGGTTCACTTTGCTTCAAGGCTCGAAGGCAATCCTGTCTCTGTAGAACTTTACTCCAGTTTGTAGCTGAAAATAGCAGGTGTTTCCAATTTTTTAAAATTTTAAATTACTTCATTAACCTTGAAAAATCATTTAACAACATCAGAATTTGTTCAGTAAAAATTTAGAATATTAAGAATATTACGACAGTATAGAAAGATCCTTTTGTCGAGAGGAAGTGAACATGGCAGAGTCATACCTGTGCTCCTGGTTTGCTCTGTAGTGATTGATGGGTGACACTGTCCTGAATTCTGTATTAAACCAAATAATTTATTAATAGAAGTAAGCAACAAGACACTAATTCACTGATACATTTATGTTTTCATTTCCAAAGGAATATGTGTATGTGAATACTTGAAAAGTGAGAGCTAAAATAATTCTTAATATACAATTAGGTTAAAAATACTCTTTCTATGATAGATGATTATTTTAAAGTGAAAGAAATCCATTCTGATTTTTTTTGAGTAGCTAATAAACGCTTATTAATTAACACAATCACAATTTAAATATTCTAATACAGAAATGTGCCAGTGCAAGCAAGAGAATACATTTATAGGCAGGATCTTTTTGGAACACAGATTTCTGACCCAGTCGTCTGTAGCTGTAGGTTTAACAGTTGGATATTAAGTGCTTTGTGGTGGTTCAATACCAGAGTTACTGACTATAAATTCCAACTGCTCTTTTGGGACATTCCAGCTTCTCCCACATGTACAAGAGTTTCAGCTTGATCCAAGTCCATGTGACCATAGGCTTGCCATGTGTATGATCTGTTAGTATAAATTAAATAGCATTATAACCATACAGTGTTTTAATTGATTTCTGCTGTTTAAAAATATTCTTCTAGTGCTGAATTCCATATACCTGTGCACACACTTCTCAGAACTGGAGATTGTTATGTAAGATCCAGCTTAATGGGATGGTCTGATCACAGGCTGAAATTGTGTGGAAGAAGAAATTAATAGAAAGAAAAATGTAAAGAAGGGATGGGTAGGAAGAGAAGGGAGCAGTGAAATAGAGAGAAAAAAATATAAAAGAATTCAATTAAAAGGACTAGAACAAGGGGAACATGAAGAATGAAGAATCCTGTGTGGGTTTGTCAAACAGCTTTTCTCTTGAGGAAAGGGTGAAATCCTGATTTAATTAATGAGGCGTGGATAATGCTCTGCCCACAGTTTTGAGTTCTGCAGAGCAGAAACCTGCAGGTCCCTGTGAGGAGAAACACCTCAGAATGTCTCCGTAAACATCTTCATCCCCTGGATCTGCTCCATGCACATCGGGGTCAGGGCACAGTGCCTCAGTCTGCTTTGCCATGGTGGAATTCCTGCTGTGCTCTAACAGTGGCTCACGAGTGTGTGCATCCTTCCCTTCTCCTGTACCCTCTGCATGTCCCTCCTGCCCCCCTGTGTCACTCACCTCCCCTGGCTGTTCCTGACTTCCTTTGGAAAAAACAAGGGATATCGACCTGCAATGGCTGACCCAGAATCTGTGTTTTCATTCCCAAAGGATTTAGGATTTCTTTGTATTTACTTCAGAAGTTGTTTCTATTTAATGCAAATGTTCAGTGTTGGATCTTTTAAACAATTCAGTTCTCCATTATGAGCCAGTGCTGTTCTTCAAGTGAATGAGTTCAGTATTCCAGGGGAATTTAGGACCTGTTATTGGAAAACACTGAGCATCTGCAAATCCTGCTCAGCCTTGTGGGATCTGCAGATATTCCCCTTTTCTGAAGTAATATCTTAAAATTATTGTTAAGCAAGGGACATCTTAATTTTTTGAGAATTAACTGATACAATTCTATTTTGTTCTTTCTTTAAAGCAAATCCAAACCAGCTCCACAGATTTCACCCAGTAAGTCTGTGGGAGGGGAGTTTTGTGTTGCTGCAGTCTTTGGAGCTTCAAGGTCATGGTTTGCAAACAATTCTGGCCTCAAACGAGAAAAAGGTTGGTACCTCACAGAGCTGGGACTTGAATTTAAACTAAAATTCTTATTTTGTGGCAGTTCTAAGCAATTTGTGGATTTTGTTCCTTAAACTCAGGGGCAATTGAGAATTTCAGGAACGTGCTTGGGAATGCTTTTGGTAAAATGTACAAGAAATTTTAATTGGTGGAATGAATAATTGATCTTTTATTATGATCCAGTGACAGAAACCCAACTTCGATAGGTCAGTCCAAAGGTGTGAAGTGATACTGAAAAAAAAAGAGATAAAGATGAAACAACTTTGCTAAAGGCAAAGCAAATGGAAATGGCTAAAGCAAATGTACAAGATATGTTTGGAAATGTGTAATCCCCTGAACACACCTTGGTGAGAAACTTCTCTTGTATGAGATATTCATACAATTGTGTGAAAATTTTGTGTTTTGTACAATTTTCTCTTCGTCCCTCCAACCCTTTTACTACTTTCAATTCACATCATTACCTACAAGCAAAGAGATTAAAAGAACACAGAGCCTGCTATTTCTGCCAAAGCCTTTCCTGTTGCTGCTGCAATAAGCTTTTCCCTCTTTGTGCCCCCAGAGCAGTCCAAGCAGTTTGTGGTGGAGTCCCTGTACATCATCAGCTGCTACGGGAGCCTGGTGGAGCACGTGCTGGAGCCGCGGCCGCTCAGCACCGCGCCCAAGATCAGCGACGACACCCCCCTGGAGATGGGCACCTGCCCCAGGGCCAGCTGGCCTTTGGTTAGGTACCTCATCCCTGTGACTCTGCCTTCCCTCGTGCTTGGGATCTTTCTTTTCGAGTGAGCTGCATGGTGATTGTCACTCATGTAAAGGCTCCTGAGGGTTTTTGTTGGAGGAGAGAGATTCAAGCTTTGCTTTCCATACAGTTCTGTGCCTCAATGGGAACTGAGCCTCTAAATCCTTCTCTACACGTGGAGCTAGGCATGAGCATGTCTGTGAATCAATAGAGATCCTTATTAATTGGTGATTTTAAATGATCAGGTTGTAATTTTCTTTTTATGTAAGGACTAGGAACGATTATTTTGGTAGTGTTGAAGTACAGAATTCTGCTGTGAGACATGAGCAAGGTTCCCACGATGAAGCATTGTGAGTTTTCCTGTGAGCAGCTGAAGGTACCATTTCTAAAGACAGTAGAAGAAATTATTCCTGACATCTGGAAGAAAGTAAAGAAAAATTGATGAGAAAGTGTTGTCAGTGCTTTTGACGTTTTAAAATATTTTTCTATCGATTTTTCTTGGCTCCTACATTCCTTAGTGCTGCTTATGGCTGGAGTAGAGTGATCAATACTTGATTTACCAAGCTATTTAGGAATGGCCCACCCTAATTAAAATTACAACACAGACTTCGGGACCATTATTGTTGAAATGAGTAGGTTGTAATGGAATTGAAAATTCTAATTGGATCAATAATCCATAACTTTACACAGTTTTATTTTCACAGTAAGTGCTCAATGACTTCACAGGATGGAAGCAGTGGTAGTTAACAGAACAAAAAAGTTCCCCAGTTTCTCTTGTGTGTTTATATAACGTCAGCATGACATACAATGGTCCTAAACATATTCACCAACTTAATCTAAACCTCCTTCCTGGATTTTTTTATGCAATCCCTGCTGCAGTCAACCAAGTATTGTCTTTGCCTCACAATCTGCACGATTTGGCCCTGCTGCTCCACTGCCTGTGGTGGATTGCAGTGTTTGAACAAGCTAATTTAAATAATTACAAACATTTTGTGAGCTTGTATAGATAATTGCATGTGATGACAGAAACACTGATTTACATTCTCTGTATTAGCTGAAATATTAATAGTCTTGTGTTTTACCTCAGAACTCCTCAGTGGAATGAGCTCCAACCACCATTTAATGCAAACCATCCACTGCTCCTGGCTGCAGATGCTGTGCAGTACTACCAGTATCTTCTGGCTGGCTGTGAGTAGCTGACAACTTCTTGTCTTGTCTCATGTGCACGTTTTGAGCAGAGGGTGATTTTCCAAGTTGATTTTTCAGCCAATTTCAGTGGATGTTCAACCCCACAGCAGGGTTGTGTGTAACTCTGTTAGTAAGGATGGAACAGTGAATGTAGTTTTGGGATTTTTGCCATGAATCAGAGTTGTGGGGCTGTGAGAATCACCCAGCAGATCCCATGAAATCTTCAGGGTTTCCTCACCTCATTCCTTCTCATGCTTTTAGCCATTTCCTCCTGTGAATTCCATGCCCAGTAATGAGTGCATCTGCATTTCCCTCTCCCTGGGAGCTCCTGGTTACTGGGCTCCTTCCAGCCCCAGTCTCAGACAGCTGCCTCCCTCAGGAGCCCTGGCACTGCTGCCAGGGATGCTTGCCCACCTGCCTTGGGCTGTGTCTTGCCCAGCCACATCATTCCCAGAGAGCCAACATTTCATGGCATGGCATATTCAGAAACATTCATACACCTATAGCTCTCTATATGTGACATATCTCTATTATATAAATACACAAACCCACACATTTTTATAATGGTTTGCAGAAAAATGAGTATTTCTCTTTTATCTGACAATTTAAAAGAGAGAGGAGCACTAAGAGTGAGGAGCAGGTCTCTGTTCTGCCTAGGATCCAAGTGATGCAGCAGTTGAAGTCTCCCAGGGGAGCAGCTCCTGGCATCTGGTGAGGTTCTCCAGGGGAAACCAGAGCTGGGCACAGTTGTCAGTGCAGGCAGCTTTATGTGACAGGGGCACTTGAGATGCACCAAGTGGCCCTGTGGGCCAGGAGGCTCTTTGGGTGGGACTGGTGAAAGGGACACTGCTGCCAGATTGGGTCTGCTGTCCTACCTGTCCATCTGCTGCATCTGAGAGTTATGGAAACCTGCAAAGTTTGAGTCTTCCTCCTTCTGTGCCGCACAGAAAATTGGGATAAGACTCAAAGGGCACAAAAGAATATGAAAAAGTATTTGGCAGTGCACTGCACCATTAGATTGCATTTTGGCTGGATTTTTTTTTGCCAGATTCCTGCCTTGTTTCACTTGTATCCCACAGAGTGAAACCAGAGATGAGTATTGTGTGTTTTATTAACATTTTATTAACAGCTCAAATACTGTTACACAGCACAGTATGCAATGTATTTCAAATCATTTAGTACTGAAAACTTTTTAAAGAAAGAAGATTGAGTAGTAGCTAAATTCCAGCAAAATCATGAACTTAAAGGGGTTTTTCATATTTGATTGAATTATCCCTTGTTTCTTTTGTGTGACTTGTGTACCTTTCACATGTTGTTTGCATGTTTGAATTGACACAGTCACGTTCATGGCACATAATGGAATTGCCATGGAAATAGGTTACCTTGCATCACCAGAAAGTCTGACATCCTCACTTCATGTTTATTTCCTTTCTTCCTCATCTCTCCACTTTGAATTCATTTTTCCATTGCCCAGTGGATGCAATATCTGAAACGTGGCCAATTAAAGAACTTGTGCTATTAGAATTATTAGGCTTTTAACTCAGATTTTAATTCATATATTAGGAATTCTTTAAGCTGGATGTGAAATGGAAAGAATAATAGAATAATAACCACTGAAGACATCAGAGTATCTAAAGGACATAATTCAAATGGCAGTCTGGTTATCTTTGAACTTCTGTCTCCTGGATTTATTCAGGCTGAAGCTCCTCACTGAAGTCCCTGACAATGTCACCCAAGCAGCTTTCCCACAAAAGCCACCTGTTAGAGAGCTGCTAAGCCCAGCTCAGGCTCTGCTCACCTGCAGCTCTGCCCTGGGCTGCCTTTAGCTGCAGCCTGCCTTTGCTGTGCTCTCTTCCTGGGGGCTCTAATTGCCAGCAAATGGCCCAGCCGGGGCCGAGGGGGGCTGGTCCATCTGTCTGCCACGTCAGTGTGAGAGGAGCCTGGCGCCGTTTCAGGGTCACTATTTGTGGCTGTCTCTGGAGGTAGAATGCAGCAGTTTCTCTCCGTTTCTGTATAGCATTTCTGCCAATTGTTTGGCTCCATTAAGTGTGCAGGGGAAATAAAAGCCTGAATGACCAAGTCACAAGGGGGTATGGATAGACCCTTTCTTTGTCCACACTCAGAACATTGCATTAGGTCTCATTATCCATTTATAATAAGTGACCTTTGGCCCCTGGGTCATTGAAAAACCCTCAGTGTGCTTTTTAGCACAGAGTACCTCTGTCAGCAGCCGGGCAGAACAATGAGACGTCTGGCAGGCTGCTTGGAGGGCTGCACGGCCAGGTTTTCATAAATAAGAGGTTTGATGCCAAAACACAAGGCCAAAATCTTCCTTAGTCTTTGAAAAATATAAACCAGGCTGGTGACTTCTTATGCTAAACAGAGAATATTCAAAAAACCCTTGCTTTAGGTTATCAACACATGGTTCAGCTTTTAATATTTTTAAAGAATCTGAAAGTTTTATTTGCAGCTAGAAAGGAAGGAACAAGGAACCATTGTTTGAAGAAATGTTTTGTACAACAAGTGTCCAAGACCTTTATCCCAAGGGTATTTGTAAGTGGATCAGCACAGCTGTTTCCTTGCTTTGAGGTCATCTGTGACATCTGCTGCAGAAACCTGCAGCAGTGTGTGCAGCTCGTGTCTACCTGAGCACATCAGCACAGCTCGGGCTGCTGCACAGGTGAGAAAGTGGCACGTGAGGGATTTACAGCTTTCTGGAAGTTCATGGCTTGAAAGTGAACTTGCATGTTAAATTCCACAAGCTGCTGGCCTGCAGGAATTGTCAGCATCCTGCTGCAAGCTCTGCAGTGGGTCAGAGAGAGTATCTCCAGTCCTGAGAGCTCCTTCTGGCAGAGCAGATTCCAGGCTCACTTGTTCCCCTGAGTCCATCCCACAAACCCCTGGATTAATGACAATCCTCAGGTTTTCAGTGCTGGGTTTTAGGTATCAGAGATTTCTCTACACTCCTCACATTTGGTACATAATATTCTACCTTATTTGTGTTTCTAATATTCCCTCTTTAGTCACCTGTGTCCTGAGCAACTTCCAAATCTAACCAGAACAGAAGGGAATCTAAGTCACATTTTATTCTTCCTGGATGTTTTTGCTATAACATAAAGAACATCACGTGGTGTTGTTAAACTGTCCTGGCAGTGGGAGGAGAGTTGTGCCAGGCACTGCACATGTGCACAGGAGGGTTTTGGTGTCCACAGGAACTTGCAATGTTAGAGCTTTCTCCACAGAATTGCCAAGTTTTGTCATTAATTACTCTTTAAATCCTGCCTTCTTCCTGCTGTTTGCTACTTAGGAATTAAGGTGCTTTGGGTTGTATAAACTCCTGAGGATGCTGTTAAGATGTCCATGGCAATATCCTGGTTGTGTTCTTTCCTCTCTTTCACCAGGCCCTGAAGTTTTGTATATTTGCCTGACTTATCCCTTGTCTCCTTTGTGTGACTTGTGTACCTTTCACATGTTGTTTGCATGTTTGAATTACACAGTCAGTGTTCATGGCACATAATGGAATTACCATGGAAATAGGTAACTTTGCATCCCAGAAAGTCTGACATCCTCATTCCATATTTATTTCCTTTCTTCCTCATCTCTCCACTCTGAATTCACTTCTCTGTTGCATGGTAGATGCAATATCTGAAACGTGGCCAATTAGCACATTAATGAATAAACCCCCTAAAATTGACCAAAAGCTGCCCCAAAAAGACATTGGATAGATTGAGATCTGGTTTCTCTCCTCTGGCTCTGCAAAGGACACCTTCACATTCCAAGCAAGAGTTTTGGCTCATCAGGACCAATTTCATGGCCACAGCCTACAGTTGTCAGAAGTGGGCCAGTGACAAGAATTAATATATTAACTGGTGTGCAGTACTCTGACAAATTGCTTACTAAATACATCAAAATTGATTGGGCATTCTGTGTTTAAATTGACAAATGACTGCATTAGGGGAAGGAGGGAAATCCATTAATTACAGCTGCCCTCAACCATAGGAAATGTAATCGTATAAATATAGATTTTGTTAAAACAAAAGTCTGTACTTTACTCCCGTGTTGCTGGTAAGTGTACTTGCACCTCTTTGCTATTAAACCTGCAATAGGAGGTTTTGAAGACAGATCTTTGCAATTGGCTTTTAAATAATCAAAGAGCATTTCTGTTGTGTTAAAAGGAAAGATGCAGTGTTTCTGCATCCCGCTCTGACCACTTCTGGAAATTGTTTCTCTCTCAGAAAAATGGACCTGTAGCTGAGGCTTCTGCTGTCTCATTAATTGTTTATTCTTAATGCAATGTCATTTGTATTCCAAGATATGAGCAAGCGAACCAGCACTCTGTATTCTCCTTCCCTGTCCCTGTACTGCTCTCCAAGTCATACTTGCAGGGCTGTTACATTTTTCTGAGTAAGAATTTGCACTTGAGTTAGGCCTGAAGATACAATCAGTTTTATAGGCTTCGTTAAGGGATTCTTGAAAAGATTAAGGCCTGTATTTATAGCTGCCTTTGACTTTTGGCTGTTATAACAGATTTTCATTTCTGGACCAACTGTTGCACATATCTTGTGTTTCACTGAAAATGGTTTTCATTACAAGTCCAATTTAGTAACTGTCCATTGTCTTCAAAGGGAGGGGGTGAGCCTTTCCCTGCTGTTTGTTTGGGTTAAATGATAACACCATTTATACAGATAATCTCTGTAGCTCTGACATCATGTTTGCACTTCCTGCTCCCTCTAATGAAAGCTGTTCACCCTGGGCAAGACTTCTGTCTCCAAGCAGCATTGTGGTTCTTTATGGCCCCTTTTTATATTCCTTTCATACATTCCATTGACAGAAATGAAAATTACATCCACAGAGCTAGTGAGTATTGTGGAAAGTCTGAGGGTAAGATAGTGTGAGAGAGTGTATTAAATACCTGTGAATATGTGCTGTGAACACAGACACTGTGAAAACCAAGCTGTGATGCCTGGAATGACAGCCAAGGAGTGGCACAGGAGGAATCT